TCTCCATAATTCACCAGACAATTTGCTAAATAACTGTCCCTATAACTGCAGTAGCCATATTCACTGATTCCAGAAGGTGACATTATTCAGATGTTGTTCAGTCTGTTTTAAAGAAGTGATTCTGACGTTTGTGTTGCTAGTGTAACGCATTATTCTGAGAGGTGTTTCTAATATTTTGTCTCTCCTTGGTGGACAAAATACTGCAAACACCAGCAAGTTTAAATCATTTCTTTGATACTGCACTACTAGTAAAACCCTAGAAGGTCACTCATATTCGCAGGTATTGCAAATTATGTTGCCATCAGTTAATAGAATGCCCTTCTTGAAAAGTGTAACAGTTATAAGCATATGCGCTGAAGAGCAGTGTTCACGATGGCCCCGTTGTTTTTAATTAATATGACAGTTTTACTCTCACATCAAAAAGAGAGGAACTTGGCAGTGAAGGGTGTTTCTGACCGTAGTATGAAATCTTTCACACTTGCAGCGCTCACAGACACGACTCACACAGCACACAGACTCACACGGCAATAAATCTCACACAGCCACACATAAAAAAAAAAAAACACACACACAGCCACAACCATATGGACACAGGCAGACAGACATGCACACATTCACTGTGATTTAGGGTAACTGCAAAAAACAAGCCTTCATCTCTGACGCCCAGCCTCTATCAATTAAACATAAAATATTCTCCCCAACAGGTTTTACTGCCAAACACATTCTTCATCCCTTTAATCCCAAAAGCTGAAACTCAACCCGGTTAAAATGCCTGCAGAGAGCAAGCGGGTGGACGGGGGGAATCAAAGCATGTTAATTGAGCCCCACAGTGCAGTGTGTGTGTGTGTGTGTGTGTGTGTGTGTGTGTGCATGCATGTGTGTTTGAGAGATACAGTACAAGAAAGAGTGAGGGAATCGGAATGGATGTGCATGTAATCATTTTTCCTCTTGAACACCCCCACTTCCTCTGTCACTGTCTTTAATGCACTCTGACAACACACAAATCACTGAAGTGGTTTCCCAGCAACAGGAGGGAGGATTTGGGATTTTGGACCCTGATTGAGCCAAAAAAAAAAACAAACTCTCCCAGAAAAAAGAAAACTGATTCAGTGGAAACCTTTCAAATCCAGTCAATATCACCATGATATTGTAAAGGGCAGTACAGATGTAGGGAGGGGGAAAACATTGATCATCAGTTTACTCCTGACCAGTACAATTCAGAGCTGGAAAACAATAAACTAAACATTTTAATAGTATGGTAAAAGCAAGTGGTGCTTAGAGCTGGTGGTCCGAAATCAAAGAGTCTCATCTCTCTGCTCTTTCCACTCTGAGAAGGAACCATGTTTCCTCTCCCAACCACTCCCTCTGGTCCACATTTATTTCTCTCTGCCTCCACCCTGTGGCAGCTAAAGGTCATGGCAGCGCTTTTAGCAACACAATACTTCAGGCAGCTGCAGCAGATGGGGAGGATTGTTCTGCTTTTAAAATCCAAGGACTAATTATTCCCACCATGTGGTGCCACTTCACAATTAGGTATACTTACAAGGTTGATAAATGCAAGTAATAACTATTAATTAATATTAATTAGGCCTATTTGCAAGAGTAGTAATGGTAGTAATGTATCAAGTACAAATAAAACAGACCTTTGGATTGTGAGCACAGTGTTAATAAGGGATAGATATAAAATTATGTGCCTCATAAACAGGTGACCTACTGTAACACCTTTTACAATATCCACTATAACAGGTTTTTCCCAAAAAGCATCTGTAAGGCATTACAGGCTTGATGTGTCTGCCCTTAGTGGACATGAGCCAAACTAAAAACTCAAAAGTACAAATCAAATTTTTTCCAGAGGTGATTTGTGTAGATATTATCAAAATGATGTGTGTACAGTAGGTTTGTTTTTAATATTTTATGTGATGATATAAAAAGGGGTGTATTTTGGATGATTTGACAGCTTTGACTGGCAGCCTGATATGTCAATCCACTATTGGTTGATACTCATAAACTGAATAGAAAACATGGACAACTCATCACCACTTCCATCCATTTTGTAAAAATGAAGCCAAAACATTGTGAATATAGCAGCTGCTAACTTAACAGATTCTGTGCAGCAGTGACCGAGCAGTTGACTGACAGTATCAGGCTGCCATTCAGAGCTGGCAAATCATCCAAAATACACCTGAATCAGCAATTGTTTAGTCACACAGATACATATTACAGTCAAATTTGCTTTCCATTTCTATGTTTTCTCAGTTTGAAGAGTCACTTCTTACAGCTGTGGCTGCTGCTGTTGACGCCACTGTTGACATAGTGTCAGTAACATTTGGGGTTGCTCCCAGGGCACTTGGAAAATCCAAATACTGTATGTGTATAGGGAACAACATTTAAAACCAGCCTTCATCATGGTTTACAGTGTTTTCATTATTACAAGAAACAACCAAAGACTTGTGTTAAAATGACCTGAGGACAGACAGTTTTAGTCATGTTTTTCCTACATAAACAAAAGGTTTCTGGAGAATTAATGCTCAAACAATGAATGCAGCTGGAACATCTGCTAAAATGCCAAGCTGAGTGAACTAAGCACAGTACATACAACTCATCATTTCAAATCAAAATAGTTTGTCAGATGAAGTTACACTTATACTGTAAGTTCTCAAACTCTCTGAAATCCACAATTTTTACATTGAATTACTTAAATTTAATAAGACGTACAGTATATATTTACATTAGGTTAACAACAAACGATTAGTTGAGCTCCTCTATGTTTTACAGTTAATCTAAATTTTGACAGACATGGATAAAATTAGCTGGGAATAGGGGAAAACAATGTGAAAACGATATGCTTCAAACTTGAGTGAACAAGAACCATTAAATATTGCTACATTTTTATTGCTGAAACAAGCTGCATTATAGAAGCTACCAATCAAACCCATAGAAATTCAGAGGGATGCCATGAATAGTTTTTGAAAAGTGTGAAGGCCTCAGCCCTGGCCTTCAGCATGTGAGGTCCTAAGCCACCACCAGCAGTGGAATTAGTTATTTGTTTTCTTTCTACCTGTGTGTAGATTTAGGTTGTAGGTAGATTTTAGACATTTGATTTGACATTAGCTTTAGTTGTACACAATTAATCAGTGAAGCATGTACATACCTCATACTAGGCCTGGACTGCACCAAATCCCCAATACAGGAAAGGGGGGAATTTTAGGAGACATATATTATTTGTTTGTAGTTTATGTTAAAACTTTATTTGTCAAGTTGTGTGTGTTTTTTTTTACATCTAAAGAAAAATATTTAGTTGTTAGTGGAGGTCAGTTGTTTGTGGTACTGTGCAGTTCAGTTTGCTGTATTTTGAGTTTCCTTATCTTTTGTTGACCTCTTTTAGGGCCCAATTTGTTTAATATGGTTTGTGTTTTTTCCTCTCTCTGAAATGGCTGTTAAAGAAAAATTAACGTAGCACAATGAAGCCAACATGCAGGACACAGGTCTTTGATGACTAGAGCCAAATATAATCACATGCTCAGCAGGTGAGTTTCATTCTAAAGTCTTGTAAACATACTGTAAAATAGAAGAACAGATATAGTGACTAATGTTTACTGACCACTATGCTAAAACATTATTCTTCTTAATAAAACTCGCATCTCATACTAACTCAAATAAAAAGTCAAAAGACAATAAGCGAACACTGTAATGAAACACAGGAGATGGTTATAACAGGTGAAGAGCATTAAAGGAAAATCCCTCCCAGTGGGAAATGATCTACAACATATTGAAAAGATACAGCACATACAAGTTGCTACGGGCACCGCACACCTCTTTTCGTTTTAGACAAATGGCTCATAAAGAAAGGCAACAGTAGAAAATGTTTCTGGGTAAAGGAAATAATAACACAGCTTAACACACTCTTTAAATGTACAGTATGCCACAGAAGTGAGTACACCCCCTCACATTTTGTAAATATTTAAGTATATCTTTTCATGTGACAACACTGACGAAATGACACTTGGCTACAATGTAAAGTAGTGAGTCTACAGCTGGTATAACAGTGTAAATGTGCTGTCCCCTCAAAATAACGCAACACACAGCCATTAATGTCTAAACTGCTGGCAACAAAAGTGAGTACACCCCTAAGTGATAATGGCCAAATGGGGCCCAA